AGCTTCCCTTTCTGTCCTAGCTTCGATCTCCATCTTCTCTAAGTCGGGCCTCGATGAACCCCGAGGTCGGGAACACGGTCGTGGCTTCCCGTCCTCAGGGTCTTGAGGCGTTCTTCTGAAATGACTTGACATCGAGAAATCAAGTCCTCTGATTTTGCCGCGTACAGATAGTCTCCGCGTTTCCCATAACGAAGTGATGGAAAATGTTGCTGACACTTGAATCCTCGAGCTTCTTACAGCGACGTCATACCGATGATGCGACTACTGGCGTGAGTTTTATGATAACTATGCATCCACGGGCTCGTGTATTTTCGACTTCATTCAATGCACTCCCGATTCCCGCTCTCCAAGGTAAAGGTACCATCATTGATTTGGTTTTCCAAGGATGCATTAACTGTGTCTGTCGGTCAATCTTTCAAAGTCTTGACGACCGTATCATAATCCCTTATAAATGGGGGTGTTTTGGCGTTGTTTTTCCTATCCCAGTGCCTTCATTGGTTTGCTTGCCTATTCCTTCTTATCATCTTCTTCTATCCTTGAACATCATGTTTAGGGCTCGTGGCCTCAAGCCCGTTTGGGGGAGCTCCCTCAGATCATGTTGTGGCCATTTGCCGGGACTTCCCTTTATCGAGCATAATCGTGCTATCCCTCTATTGTTGTGGTTGTCGATATGCTAGCCTTTGCTGCTACTGTTGGCCCGAGGTGATGATGGACGGGGAATCGGTTTCCCCCTCATGTAGATAGTAGTTCGGAATGTGCACCACTACTCAAAAGGGGGCTCGGATTATACACCATTGCTCACCTTCATACCCCGGCTCGACGTGGTGCTCTGCTCCGAGTTGGGGGCTTGCACGGCTAGACGCTCCAAGAAGTGGATTCTAAGTAGCCGTGCAAGCGGGACCGAGGGTTGTTCGGTACGCTGTCTCTCCGAGGTTTTCTTGGCTAATAAGGGTCCTCGAGCTTCAGATAGCTATGGCATTTTTTCATTCCTCCCCTCCACTCACCTTGTCCATTGGGGATATCAGTGTGGAAGGTTGGGATGAAACTTCCAAGGATGCACGTCCGGAGGCACCTATTGCGGACCTTCAAAAGTGGACCGGTCTTCAATTGAACCTCAGGTTCTTTCCTGCATGTATGGGCGGACGGTGATGGCTTTTTGTGCTTTGGGTCGAAGTGACCTTATAGGTGGGTGGCCCAGAGGCTCGCATAGTTAACTATTTTGGATCCGGTCTTCGAATCGGGTTACGATTCGAGCTCATTTTAATCCTCAAGTTGTCAATTTTTTCAGCTGGCGACAATGGCTCTTATGTTGTTTGGTCATAGAGACCTTTTAATATGTGGCCTGGAGGCTTGCTTAGCTGGCGACAATGGCTCTTACACTATTTTTGCCCGTGGGCTTTTTTGTAGGCTTTGTTTTCCACTCGTTAAGGTCTTTTGAAATAGTTTTTCCTGACCCGTAGTCAGTTCTAGAAGAACCTCGATTTCAAGTCGTTATCGACGATGTTTCGAGCACCTCGGAAGGTTCATAGCTCATAGGCTGAGTAGGCCGAAGCCTTTGTGATTTAGAGCTAACATGGTCGAAGCTCGTTTTTGCCTGTTGAGGGAAGCCTGTTTTAACCGGTTCTTTCCGAAGTATATTCGAAGTAGTGGCCTGCAATTTTGTTTAGCGACGGTCGGGCATCCCCGAGTCACGTTAGTTTGGTTGTATCGACAGTTTGACCATAGTCATATGTGTTTGGCCGTAGCCATTTTTGATCCCGAGTGACAGTTTAGGCGTCTACATCGAGGGTATGCACTTTCTGGATTCTTACAAATGCAACGTATAGCTTAAACTTTGGGATTTTCATGCCTGTTGAGGTCTTACAGTTTGTCATGCCTATTAAGGTCTTACAGTTTTTGTTGTAATGTAGAATAGATCTAGTTACGCCGAGTCTGACCGCTTGGGGTCTTACAGTTTCGGGTTTCCCAGTGCATGGAGATTGGCGATGAACGACAGTCTTTGAGTCATCGAATTTGTTTAAGCTTGAAGACCGTTTTTCGTGAGTTCAGAGTTGCCTTATAGGGGCATTATGAGCCCGGAGTTCCGACCCTGGGGTCGTGCGGGTGTTGAATTGCTGCCGCTAAGTCTCCGAGTATCTCAGGACGCGTTTGGTGGAGGGGGCCCTTGTCGGGGGTATATTTGAGATTTCCTTGTCTGGAGAATAAGGTGCTGAAAAGATATCCTTTTATTGCTTGGTGCAGACATATATTGTTTCATTGTCGTGAGCTCGGCCCGCGCGGGCGTGGCTTCTCGGTCCATTCGATCCGGTACATAATACCCGATTTGGGTTTAGTCTGCCGCTTCCCAGTCCTCCCGAGGGGATGGTGCCCTTAGAAGCATATCATTACTCGTCGTTGGATTGTAGAAGAAGGCTTGCGACCTTATCGGATCCTCCTCTGGGGGGTACGTTTCTCTGCTAATAATTTTGCTGACAAGGCCCTCTTTGGGGCGGAAGCCCGACTGAGGGGAAAGAGCGTGGCGGGCCCTTTTTTAGAGCCTAGGGATCTCCGGGTAGAGTTAGAACTTTTGAATATCCTAGCCAATTGTCTTCATACAGGTTAGTGAAAAAAAATAACACGAGAGTAAAACAATTCTTCCTCACTGCGGGATATGTAGGCGACATTTTGAGATTTGGTATGTTCCTACTCTTTAGGGGCGTGAGTCCTGATACAGCCGCCCGCCGTATCTTATCAGGCTTGGCCGAAGATGTGGTTTTCTTACCCTTCGATCCTTTCGAGGGTGGGGGCATTGATGCCGGCGACGGGCCAGATGGTGAAGAATTTCCTTTTGTCGTGTATTGCTTTCTGTCGACTTATTTTAGTCCTGCCCTTTGCGAGGGGTTTCATGCTTTTGGCAAAATGGGGCCGACTCTGTCTCCGATTGGTGTGCCGGCAGTTGTCTGAATAAGACGTTCGTGCTTTGAGCCTCCTCCGATGGTATAGAGCTCGACGTCCCGGCCCGAGCTCAGATGGGCTATATCAAGAGAATGGTCTTTGTGGCGATTTGTCATTTGGAATTCGCTAGGGATTCAGGATGCGAGGGTGATTGGGTCTGTTAGTTCAGACCGCCCCACGGAGGAAGCACCTGAATTCACGAACAAATGTTATATTTAAGATAAATCAAATGAGGGAGAGGGTTACCAGTGAGTCAGTGTGATGCCGGGGCGGAGCCTCGGTGCCCTTTTCCCTGGTTGTAAGGGTGTCCTCCGAAATATTTCCCTGGGCCTGTTTTTCCCTGATGGTGAACATTTTCACTTTCTATGTTATGAGTCCTCGGAGGGTGTCGCCGCTCCTTCACTGTTGTGGTAATATGTCGTGGCTTGTTTACTTCATCCTTCCCGGTTGCCTTGCTTCCATGGGCTGGACTCGAGCCTGACCGCCCGATGGTACTCGATGGTGATTTTTATTGAGTAACACAACTGTCATCTTTCCGAGATGGGGTCATTTTTTACCTCGTGGCCGCGCGCGCCCTGCGGTTCCTGCATCAGGTTGTGGTTCTTTTGAAAGGGTCTTGGTCGAATAGGCCTGACTCGCTCAGCGTCCCTGGTTTCGCTTATGGTGATCATGATATTTGGTATAGCAATGTTGAAACCATACTCTGCTGGGAGGGGCTCCTCTGCTGGCTATGCCTCATCAGATCCGGTTCCACCGAAGGTTCCTCGAAGATGTTGCCCTCAAAATATTCCCCTATCGTTGCGAGGTAAGTTGCATCTTGCAGCGTTCCTCCCATTTGTGGCATAAGGATGGTACCTCCATCTGTTTGGCATTAGTTTCTTTGTTGGGAGCCCGATTGGGTATACCGGGCCCGTAGAGGCTCCCGGACGGTTGTCCATGGCCTTGATTCGTGGCCGGTGCCGGGTACGGGCATACGGCCAGGTCTCGACTGGGTATCTGACTAAGCATCATTTGAAAAGACCTGGAGTCGTCGGGCGTGCTTCGTTTAAACTTCGGGCGAAGTCCTGGGTTGTCCACTCATCCGAAACCGGGAGCGATCTCATTTGTCCTATCAGGGAATGAGACGCGACTTCCTGTGGTGTTTCACTCTCTCTTTGTTTAGCCCCAGGTGTGTCGGGCTCTTCCATTGCTGCTTCGATAGTTGCTCCACATATTCATCTAACTTAGCTCTATTAGTTTGGACCCTCGTATTAGCTAGTTTTGTTGTGGTGTTAGCAGTTCTTGATGATGTTGTTAGATCAATATTTTCAGGACCGATATTTACTGTATTTCCCCTTTCCAGTAATCTGTTCAACCACAATATTTTTTCAGGACGTGCTACTGCTTCAATATCAGATATAGGTTTCCCACTATGGCATATCTCAAAAGACTCGAGTCCATCATCTGAAGGAACAGGTATAACTTCAACCGATAATTTCTCTCCCAATTTTTGTCCAGAAGCAAGCTTGAAACTTTGAAATTGTTGCTTCTTCGAGGTCAATAGCATATTCAACATGGTTTGTGGACTCCTACAATCTGATTTGTTATCTTGGGGTAAAAAGAACTCCAATATGTGTACATACTCCCCGGTATAGGAACTCTGCAAACATATAGCAAAAGAACTATGCAATCCAACTCTGTGTGCCACATGTGCTAAGGGGTACTCAGTCATGCTTAACTGTGTGATGTCACTGCAGAAGCATGAACTACGGGTTAAAAAGGCCTTACTAACAACCCCCTGACTCTTCCCTAAGTGAAACATATCACAAGCAGCTCTGAACTCGTAGCCTGCTGATGTGCATATGCAGAACTGTTCCTTTGTAGTCATGAATCTTTTAATGCTGCTTCCGTCAAGGATAGGTAGCCATGTCTGAGCTAGAGGTAATTGATGTGTTCTGCATATGAAACTCAACTGCTCCTCAATCTCTTTTAGGGCGCGTTCTAGCCCTCTAAGGCCCTGCTAAAAACAGATAGTGGATACAGGTGCTTTAGTTTATTTCAGTTAAAGAGGGACACTTTAGTTTAGNAAAAATTCAACTGATCCCCGAGCTCTTTTTGGGCGCGTTCTAGCCCTCTAAGGCCCTGCTAAAAACAGACAGTTGATACAGGAGCTTTAGTTTATTTCTTATCAAAGAGATACATTTAGTCTAAGATGTTTTTTTCCTAGCTTTGGGTATTCAGGTATATAGCATCTCTAAAATACCTTCTTATCAGGGTGGCCGTACATGTTTGATGATCTCAACTCCACCTTCTGTTAAGAACAAGATGCAATGCTCAGAGAAATTGAAAGAGGTTATAAGGATTTAACGAATATATGCCAAACAAAGCTCTAAAGACCGAAGAAAGGGAAAACAGAACAGAAGTTCTTTTTAATTTTCTTTTCTCTCCGTCCTTAGAGGTTAGATTCTCATTTCCACTTCCTACGGTAGAATGAGGAAAAACTAACAGTTGTGCTAAAGGATGAATGTCAATCGATCATCTGAAAGAAACACCAAACTGCTTTTAACTTTGTCTTATACCATCTTACAGATTTTCTCTTCTGCTTCTTATTTAGAGGGAAGTTACAGGCCTGATTGATGGATCAGGTTTCAATCACATGTTTCCCACAGCTAGAAATCATGAAAAAATGTTAAATCACCTCAAGACAAATGAAAACTGATACAAATTGGTATAGTTGAGGTGCGTATAAACTAGCACGGACACCACTGCTATAAAAAACAACAAGGAAAAGGAAAGGTATCTGCATATTCAGTCATGCACAGGAGGTGTTACAGACCTAATTAAATTAATAAATGTATTTCCTCTCTAACAAAATTTACCACACTAAAATCAAGCAAAGTTCCTTTCTCTAGAAGTACAACCTTTCCTTTCTCTACAGTAATTCTAACTCAAACAAGCTAGAAGAGAAAAGAGAGAGGAAAGCCATACCTTAAGCATTTCATAGACCATTTGAACGAGGTCTTGAGAGAAGCTTCCCTTCTTATCCCCTATGATCTCAAGTACTCCAGCGCATTCATTACTAAGCGGCTCAAAAACCGGTACAGCCAAATAGTTCCCTAAACAGCAGTAAAAGCCGAGCTATGCTGAGGAAAATCAGCAGCAGAATAGCGCGAAATATTCGGACTCATTTCAGGCAAACCATGTTTGAACACGCGTCCGGTAGGGCCAAGTTGATTCTCATTCTCAGTTACAATAGGAATTCTAAATTTCAGACACTGACCTATAATAACAAAGTCCTTCATGGAGTTTTGTAAGACCAAAAGGTAGGTCACAAGTTGTTAGAAAAATCTGATCTTTAGTAGTCACAGGTGCCCAAAATTGAACCAACCAGCATCCGTAGTAGTCAGATATGTAGGCATTCTTAAGAGCAGATGTGATTTTCTCCTTAATGGTATCATGATAGATAGTAGTAGCAGCAGCTGTAAAAAGGTTGTTTATGATATTAGTCGCTTGACTCGTTCATAAAGATAGATATATAGCAATCATATTGAAAAACTGGTTAAGTTTCTCAGTTGAAACTCTTTGGATGTTCAACACTTAAAAGCGGAAGCAGTTACATAAGCTCAAAGACATCATGACCCCTTTCTCATTCCGAATCATTTAAAAGGTCATTCATCTTATCTGAGTAACCAAATTTAATCATTATCAAATCCTAGGGAATTTATATTGAGAGATAATAGATGAAATAAGTAGGCAGCTCCACCAACTCTGCACTCGTTGTATACATAAAAGAACAAAAGTAGAACTTCAACATGATTGCATTAGTCATAGGACTAATAAACACAAGTTCAAGTTTACATTTAAGAATACTCATGGAGTGCTCTAAAAACAACATGAATAAGAGTGGCAAGTTTGTTACTATTTAAACATAAATGTCTAAAATTTTGTTGTTTCACTGCTCTAATCATATATTCTTACATCGCTAAGACTTGGCAGCAGTTAAAGTTCCAACAAGTCGATGAAGAAAAAGTACCAAAAAAGAAGCTCGAGGAGGAGCCAGAATTTCAAGCTTATGAATTTGGATTCTAATCCTATTAAGTTATTGGGTTCTAAATTAATAATTTATACATATTCAATGGATTTTAAAACAAATACAGGTATTCGAACCAAAGCTACTGGGTTCGATCGAACCCATTTCCGACACTCTAGCTCCGCCCCTGTCTAAACTAGAGCTTTGATCGATTATTAGTCTAATTTCTTATTTTGATAACATTAAAGTCCAAAAAGTAATGAGATTTAGAGAGTACAATAACATATACATGAATTACTAGTTTTGTACTCAACATACTAAACCCTGTGTCCCAAAAGGTTTGTCACTTTTCTGCCCTCGTGATTTAAACTAAGTGAACTTTGATTAGGGCTGTCAAATTTGGCCCAAGCCCAAATGGCCCGCCCAACCCATCCAAGGTTGGGCTGATTATTGATCCGTCCATTCATTAAACTCAGTTCATCTTGACCTAACCTATCTCAATCCATTTAAAGTTGGGCTAATTTTTAGCCCAAATCGATCCATGAGCAACTTTGCCAAAATATCTTAGAAATAATTATTTATATTGTTTGATATGTTATATATGACTATAACAAATGAAAAAAAAGTCATATTTAGTAATTATACAATTCATAAGAAAATAACACATATTAAGTAAAGCTAGATAAGAGTTGAGCGGGTTGGGCAATGACCCAAATTTTAGCTTATCCTAACCCAACCCATCTTAGTCAAGTAACTTTTGGGCTCGTTTATGGCGTTTTAGGGCCAACAAACAAGAATTCACGACGATTCTTACATTTTTGTGTGCTATAGTCCACGCCATCTGCATGTACCTGGGCGACCGACTCCAAATCGCCTAAGATTTTGCGGGCCCATAAAAACAACCTAATGAACAATAATCATCCGGACCTCCGGCATGACCATTCCTCAATTATTGTCTCAACTCACTTTGACCCGGCAAAATGGGCCCAAGCCGCCTATTTGAGACCCCTAACTTTGATTAACGTTTAAAAGTTTAACCTTTCACCATCTGATATGAAGTAATTTGTACTTGGAATACTTTACAGGTAATTTCTGAGTATCATATAATCTGGATACTATTATATAGTATAAATACCAATCCAATTGGAATATAAAGGAAAAAATGCACTTACTGATGGGAAAGACAGTAGGGAACTCGTTATTGTATTGGCTCCAGAATATCCACAGCTCACTTTGAGTGTTAAGCTCAGTGTATTGTAGGGGACTGGGCATGTAACTCAATGCTTCAGATACATTACTACATATTCTGAATGTTTCATTTTCACATGCCATTCCTAGACTAACTGTAGTTACTCCTTTGCTTTTGTGAGAGATAAAATCCAAAATCAAAATACTGATCACAGTACTCTTTCAAGATTAACACCAACACAAGAATGAAGCAATTGTGCAAAACAAAAGAAAGAAAGAAAGAAAGAAAGAAAGAAAGAAGGTGAATGGAAGGAAGGAGCAGAGAATATTTTGTCTTTTTTACACTTTGAGAGTTATTAACTACATCAGATTAAATTAAACAAAGAACAAAAAAAAAATGAGTTGATGGAATTGTGGGCCCCAACTGGCAAGGTTAAATAAACAAAATAAGAAAGAAAATTGGACTATGCTTTCCCATCCATTTATGTTACACAAACTTTTTGGTTCTTTTCATCTAAAACAACTCTTTCAACACTTTTTACATTAATGTAAACAACCTTTTGGTCTTTTTGGCCTAAAACAACCGTTTCAACCCTCTTTATCTCAAAAATTTCAGCACTTGTATGGTACTTTATTGGTGAAATTGTTTGATTGGCACGAATTTTAACAAAATTAAAGATTTGAATTTTAACAAAATTAAAGATTTTTGAAATTTATGGTACAAAGATTTTAACAAAGATTTTTGAAATTTAAAAGATAGTACAAAGTATTTGTGTGAAGCATCCTTATGGAAAGAGAGACCGGTTTGGCCTGCAACCAACAACAACACCAACCTCAAGAATGGAGAGTGTGTTCAGTGCACATGCCTGGTCCCGCCAACCCAATGGTCTATGGGTTTTTTGGAGGGAACGTGATGATGCAGAGCAGCTTCAGAATCACTTCTCCTTCAGTAAGAACTTACTATATTTGATTTTCTCATAAGTTTGTGGATTTTCTATTTGACAATGAATGAGGGAAGAAGAATTTTTGGTTTTTGTTGGGGTTGAAATTATTTTGATCTTTATACATGGGATGAAAGTCAGCTAAGTATTTTCTGAGATACACTGCCAATTTCAGCTTCATTACTTCAAAATTTTGTTCTTTTTTAATACTTTTGGGATATTCTAGCAGTTTGTATTCATTGTGATAAGGGGAGTCTTTAACGTAATTGGTAAAATTGTTGCCATGTGACCACGATGTCATAGGTTCGAGCCGTGTAAACAGCCTCTTGCACAAATACAGGGTAAGGTTGGGTACAGTAGACCCTTATGGTCCGGCCCCGGATCCTGCATAATGGAAGCTTAGTGCACCTAGCTGCCTTTTTTGTATCCATTTTGACAATCATTTCCTTAAGAATTGTTGGACTTCCTATTTGCCCATGAATGAGGAGAGAATTTTTGCTTTGGTGGGTTAAAATTATGTTGTTTATCATAAGCAAAAACACTAGGTGGTTTCTTCATGTCTATCCAAGACAGCGTTACCCAGTACCTGTAGTGGTGGGAGATAGCAAGTACCCCATGTAATCGGGATACACTTAAGCTCGCTCGGATACCACAATTATCAAATAAAAAAATGTTGATATTTATAAATGGGATTTGAATCAGCTAAGAATTTTCTAAAATACATTGCAAGTTTCAATAGACCTTTGTGGTCTGTCCCTTCCCCAAACCCCGCGCATAGCGGGAGCTTAGTACACCGGGCTGCTCACATTGCAAGTTTCACTCTCATTGCTTCAAAATTAGGTTCTTTTTGTTTCTTCTTTGGGAAATTCTAGCAATTTGTTTCCATTTTGAGAATCATTGTTGCAATTCAGTTACATACTTTAGGTACAAGATATTCACCACCATGGTTGCCATTGAATTTTGTGCTTGCCACACCTTAGAAGAAGAACTTCTCATTCACTTGAAAATTTATCCTGGATATAAAGGTCTGAACTTTGAATCCTCAACCTATTCTTTATAGTACTGATAACCATTTATCTTGTCGTTTTGAATTGGTGCTAAAGTTGGCAAACCTATATGTTTGGTATGCTAAGGAGAAAATGCCAACCTTTTGTCAAAGTAATTTTGTTACTGCATGTTACTGTCACTTCTCCGCAAACACTTAACTTTTTTCAATCGTTTTCTTTTCTTTATTACCAATGGCAATGGGCCAAAATTCATTACAATTTATAGTACTGGCTCTGATTGTCATGTATGAGTGAAAGATTGAGGCAGACGTAAAATTTATAGTACTGGCTCTGAGATTATCATTAGTAGTACTGTATCGCGGATTTGAATTCAAGAAAATACCTTAATTAGATAAAGGTAACTTAATTGCTTTGGCCAATCAGTAAAATTGTTGCTACAAGCCTTTTACAAAACCTGGGAGTAATATTCTTTGTACTAATACAATATTTGTGTATGCCACAACTGCAGATGTTGTTACTAAACGCATGGAAATCAAGGAAAGAGTTAAGATTGCACTACAACATGTAGAGAAATTATCCTGCAATTATCTTATTCAGTACTGGGCTAGTATTGTAATTGATGGCCAGACTTTCCTAACAACTTCAGATCAGCCTTTTGGTCTTACCAGACTTGAATACGGACTATGTTCGTACAGGAAAAAGTGCCTGAGCCATGCAATTCCTGTTGAGCTGAAGAACGGTACCCAATGTGAAAATGACCTTGGTCCTCCCGGACGTGTGTTCAAATATAGGTTGCCTGAACTATGTACAGACGTGAAGAATTACAGCCAACAAGAGTTCCCTTTACGGGATGATGCTGTAGCCTGGAGCATACAATGGTGCTATACTGTCCCTGTTTTTGATCCATCTCGAGACACCTTTGTCGGGGTCCTTGAGTTGGTCACCAGTCACCAAACAAATGAATGGATATTTGGAAACTCTGTCTTGCCCATTTTCAAGATGCTCCAGGTTTTTACGCATACCTTCAGCTTTTTCCAACCTTAAATGTTGAACCTCTAGCTCATCTTGTTTGGCATCCATGATCCCTTTTAATGCACTGTTTTCCTTTCACCATTTCTGAATAGTAAAAGAAGAGGCGCCAAGAAAAGAGGAAATTAAAACTGTACACTGTATTATTCAACCGCTGTTTATTCTTTTCCACTTTTGACTTCATTTTTTAGGTGGTGGATCTGAAATCTCCAGATTCATATTGTCCGCTTGATTTGAAAGTAAGTTGTCCAGTAGATCAAGCTCTTTTCCAGTAATGTCTCCCTTTGAACCATATTCATTTCCTTTGGCTCTTTTTGTTTAAGCTTCAGTGATATCTCTATCTTGAATTCATATTAACAAAGACAGTCTCAAGGCAGGTTTTGGATGACCGGCAATGTGCTCTTGGTGGATTATACAAGGCAATCGAAGTGGTATGTCAAAAACATCAATTTCTCTTTGCTCAGATTTGGGTCAGTGTTGCTGATTCATGGTGCACTGGAAAAGTTATCACTGTTAGACAACGACACATTGCAATCAACGATAACCAAAACTTAAGTTTATTCAAATATGCAAGTGGTCTTCAATACATGTTAGAAGGCTACGGTGTTGTAGGCAGGGCTTTCTCATCAAAATCTTCATGCTTTTGTCGAGATGTAACACAGTTGAGCATAATGGAATACCGCTTGGTAACTTGTTCTCGCGAAGCTGGTTTAACTGGTTGTTTTGCAATCTGTTTAAGTGCTCTGGACAATGATGACAATGTTTACATACTAGAGTTCTTCTTGCCCCCAAATGAGCTTCTGCATAGAAATCTACAAGTCTTCCTGAAGTTAGTTTTGGACACGGTGAAACAACAGTTGCAACACTTTGAGTTTGCAGTCGGACATGATTTTGGAGAGAAGTTACCTGTTAAAGTCATCAAGATTTCTTCTGACGATGACCTTGATTCTTTCGAGATCTGTCAGAATACTAAAGAACTGCATAACGTTGAGCCATTGCCAAATGGAGGAGAGTTGATGTTGCCTGACACAGCAACAGCAGTCTTTTTCTTCCGAAACAAATCAACAACTGAGTTTGGATATTGATGAGATAACTGCTGCAAGGGATAGCGTAGCTGTAAGTGAAGAACAGTGCAATTCCGCTGGATCTTCAACTAGCGCTAAAACCTCTCAAAACAAAGAAAGAAAACTGCAGCTGGAATTATCAACACGACAGGCAAAGCAGGGAGCAAATGCTGTGAACAAAAGAAGAAACAGTAAACGGACTTTTACCTCCGAGTCAGAGATTCAGAAAGAAAGAGAGAGGATAGAACGAGATCATAACATCAACCTCAAAAAAATTGAAGACCGTTCGTCAATGACTCAAGATGCCGCTGCCGATGATTTGGGAGGTATCATAAACTCTTTCCAAAACTCTTCTGCTTTTATCTTTCTTCTTTCTTTAAGATTAGTACACATGAAGCAAATGATCCATATAAATGATACTAACTACATGGACTAAGGTTTAGTTATTGTTATTATATTTATATACGATCCAGTGTATCACAACCCAAACTCTAAGCGTGAGTCAGCTTGCCCGCCCACAATATATCCACATCCATTAATCTGTCTCATAACGCTAGTATGGACCAAGGATTAACATAAGCAAATTAAAACAAAACAATTGAGGATCTAACACTTAATGTAGTCCCAAATCCGTAATAGATTCCATGAAGCATATTCTAGAGAGTCATTACAACTGTCTAGCTTAGTTCTTGCTGAGGACAAAAAAGGAAAGCATATCTAAGCATAGAACAATAAGTGGGGCTCACCAATGAAACACTCCGTCTCTACTTCCGCACCTATACAACTCATTACAATGTCAAGTTCACAATATGTTCCAAGTCATTATTAAGATATGCTCGAGGGTTCCGAGTATTACACCATGTTTGCGAAGGGTCCTTTTAATCTAGTTAGAAGCTCCTATGTCATTTTAAGGTAAAGTGTAAGATCTAAAGAAATTCTAGATTAGAATATCCCAAATTTGTCTTAAAAGGTAAATTGTCTACCCGTGATTGGAATGAAATGAACCCAAATTGAGCTAGCGTTTGGACATAGACTTGGTTGAAACTAGAAAAAAAAAATTGAAGATGAGATGAAAAATGATTTTTGGAAGTTGAAATTATGTTTGGAGATGCATTTTACTTAAACAGAAGTTGAAGTTTTGTGAGTAGAAAACTTGAAAATATAGTTCAACCCACGTTTTGAAACTTGAAAAATTCTTCTCCAAAAACCGCCCAAAAACTGGTCACTTTTTATAACCAAACAATGTTTTTAATTTTTTTTTTGCAAATAACTTATGGCCAAAGCGGGAGCTGAGTGAATGGATACGGAGGATTCATCTAGCGGTCTCTAACTAGCTAGTATTGAGACGTAGTTGATCGATTGAATGATTGATATGATTTCTTTATCTTCTCCTTTCCTTTAGTCCAAATCATATGTGTATATTGTAGTTTAAGATTCACTGAAGACATTTTTGTACCTGGGATTATTCCAATGCAGTTGGCAAATCAACACTGAAGCGTATATGTAGATTATACGGTATAACTAGATGGCCGCCCAAGAATAAGGAGAAGAAAAGAAAATGCTCCCACTCTCGTAAAATGAAATCCATCCTCCCTGCTGAGGAAGATGTCAATGCTAGTACAAAATTCCAGCAATCTTCTGATTCTCCTAACAAGGAAGACACAATTAATGGAACTAAAGTTGGAGCACATGTTACAGAAATCCGAGATGGTACAGTTGTGATTACAAAGGTGAAATATGGAGATAGGGTGCTAAGATTGCAGCTAACTCTTTCTTCTAAGATGAAGGATTTAGAAGAGGAAGTGGCAAAGAGGGTCGAGTCATCGATTGAAAGTTTTGATTTCACGTATGTAGACAAAGAGGGTGATACGATATTGATAAAATGTGATGAGGATTTGACGGAATGTTTTCTGCATTTTAGATCTTCAGAAAGCGCGACTGTTAAGATGTTCATCACCCCAAAGTCTTAAATTATGCAAGTCTTTCTTTCTTTCTAGTATATGTAGTTGGTTAGCCTTTGAATACTTTTCTCTCCAAATGAAGTTGGTAGCTCTTTTCTATGTTGCGCAGACTCTCCAAAATGATGTCGAACCCATGTCGGATCCTTCAAAAATGCACTACTTTTGGAAAATCCGACACATATCCAACGACTTTTTCGGAGAGTCCCAGCAACATAGGTTCTTTTGTTGATGATAGATGTCAGTTCACATACAGATGAACACAAACCTTATTACACAGCTAGAAGAGGCATGCTTCAGTCCTAGTGGAAGTATAATGTAAAAACTGTAAGAGCATTTTCAAAGTAATCTTCCAATTTTGATCAGAGCAAGGTAGTCTTCCAATGTTTTCCCTTGTTCAAATTCTTTCTATTTTTGAGTTCCTATTTTCCTTTGGCTATTTACAATCTTGATTTTTCCCTATAAAGATATTATCCTTCCTACCCTGTCTTTACTGGATAAAACAATATGATGGGAAATGGAATGATCAGTAAGAATAATGTTTATGGACTTGAACTGGATGGGTGATTGGCAAAAAGGTTTCATCTTTGTTTGTTCTCTGTTTATTGTTGCTGTATTTTGTGAGCTATATTTAGTGCAACTTCATTCGATTGTTTTGTTCTTTTCACCTTGTCACAACCCTTTTTAAACAAACTTCACTAAACCCTCTATTAAATATAAAAAGGATTTTGTAAAGCTTGAAAAGGGTTTTCCAATTAGAACGTGACAAAAATTGTACTCAACAGGAAAATAACTCAGAGTCGCCACCTGGCTTTGATTTCGGTGTGCCAGGTCACCATTTTAAAATGATTTTTCCTTTTAAAACGTTTCAGACTCTAAAACCAAGTCCGCACCAGAGATTCGAGTAAGGGGGTTCATTTGACTCGAGGAGAAGGTGTTAGGCACTCCTCAAGTCCCGTAACTAGTACGGTTGCGTACTCGATCTAGTTGGCTTTTAGAATATTCAAGTTAAGATAAAATCACAGAAAAGCAAAATAAACACACACGAGGCTTGAGGTCGTCCCTGCCTAATAAAAGAAAATAAAAAGGAAGGAAAAGAAAAATCCTAAGCTAACCTATGCTAAGACTTCCCCACCATGCTCGTCAAGGCCTTCAAAATATTTACATAGTTCTTCGGGGTATACCCCGGATAATAATATATACAAACCTCTCGGGGCATTCCCCGGATAAATTTAACTGAGGGAACGACCCCTTGCCTCGAAATTAAAAGCAAACAAATAGAAAAATCCTAATATTACCTACCCAAATGTTGTCGGCCTAAAGTATGCTCCTAACGGACAATGTAATAAAATAAGCAAATAAAAGAAAAGAAAAGAAAATTCTAAATCATGCTCAGATTTTACAATTAATTTCATTTGCTAGACCAAGCCCAAGTCCTAAATAAGTAAGCAAATTAACACTAATGGGCCAAGCCTTTCTCCCAACCCCCATGGCCTAACGTCAGAAACATTTCAATCCAATCATTCGTGCATAGCATGTAAAACAGACAATCAAGCAAATAGAACAAACACAACCCAAAGGAGGCAACAGTACGAAAAATAAGACAAACTGAAGCTATCGACTTCATAAACAAGCAACAACAAATCAGTGTTCAAATGAACAGAGCACCCCATCACATACTGAATAGTTTTAACTCCATTTAATTAAAGCTTAAGCCATGGAAAATCTTGCCGCAAATCAGAAAAATTTACATACCAATTCAGTAAATTAACCGCGGAGAAGCCAGATTCTTACTCACAAAATTACTACACTAGATTGTTAGTCATGAAGGAATAATGCATTTGCAAGAATTTAACAAAGGAAAAATCCTTTCAGAACCTACGACCTGAGACTAACATGTATTTTAAGGAACATGGGGTTTCTTCAACTAATCATTATGAGAAAAGAAACAGTTAAAACGTGTTTAAGGAAAAGAGATGTCAAGCTATGTATTCTGTTTTTGAGAGCTTTAAACTACTTGATCAAAATAAATCCACGACTGCAAAATAAAACCAAGTTGAACTTAAAGAATGACTAAAACAGAATTTGCGGCACTTAAATTCAAACTCTAAATTCCACCGGCCGTCGACCAATTTTCAAGCAAAACACAAATTACTCGTCAAAAGAAATCAACAGGTGCGAACAGATTGCACGTCAACAAACCAAAGACGAATGGATCTAATTTGGAAACTTAACTATAATCTAAATGCTTCATTTTTCAACTACTCATATTCTAACACATTGTGCAGCTAGATGGCACATCGCATAACAAGAACAGATTGACAAACAACATTCTCGAGCACAAATCACAACTAGAAACTAACTGCAAACACAACCTCTACTAAAACACGATCAAATATCTATCACTACAGAGCAAATTCCCTACGGCTCATATCATATTTCGATCACCATTAACGATAATAAGAAGGAAGAGATGAACCTGGAATTGCAAAACTCTTCTTAATAACAGAAAGCAAGAAATTCAGCTACAAACTTTGAGTCTGGAATCCGAGTGAGAAAACAGCGGTGACTTCGAACAAGGAACCACGTCCAAAATTCACGAACGGACAGCAATTTGAAACTCGAACTCGAGCACCTCAAGCAGTCTCCATGTTCGCAGACCAAAACTCAAAATTGAAATTCCACTATAGCAAAAGCAGTAAAGAGATGTATATATTTTTTTTGTGTTAGTTTCTGATTTTCGAAAATGGAATAATACTTGAACAAAAATCAAACTCAAACTATTTTTTGTATTTTTGTTTTTTGGAATTGTAACTCAACCGAAAATGGACAAAAAAATTAGAAGAGAAGAAGAAACTTCCTATTAGAACCCTAATTTTTCCTAACCTTTTTCTCCCCCTATTCTCTGTCTTAGACCCAAATATATAGCTCTCTCCCGAAGCTTCTCTCCTTCCTTTGCAAGAAATCGCCAGAACCCTTCAAAAATCCGTGTAGACCCCCCAAACAAGGTCCGAAAATCCTCATTTTTTAACAAAAATCAAAAAATGGAAGTCTTGGATCAAAATTTGAATTGTATTCCCTCGTTATCCAGGTGGGCGCCTGATTACCAAAACTGAATTGTATTCCCTCGTTATCCAGGTGGGTGCCTGGTTGCTAAAACTTGAAACTATATTCCCTCATTATCCAGGTGGGCGCCTGATTACCAAAACTTGAACTGTATTCCCTCATTATCCAGGTGGGAGCCTAATTACCAAAACTTGAAACTGTATTCCCTCGTTATCCAGGTGGGTTCCTGATTGCTAAAAATTGAAACTGTATTCCCTCGTTATCCAGGTGGGCGCCTGATTACCAAAACTTGAAACTGTATTCCCTCGTTATCCAGGTGGGTGCCTGATTGCTAAAACTTGAAAGTATATTCCCCCGTTATCCAAGTGGGCGCCTGATTACCAAAACTTGAATTGTATTCCCTCGTTAGCCAGGTGGGCGCCTGATTGCTAAAACTTGAAACTGTATTCCCTTGTTATCCAGGTGGGCGCCTGATTACCAAAACTTGAAACTGTATTCCTTCGTTATCCAGGTGGGCGCCTGATTGCTAAAACTTGAAACTGTATTCCTTCGTTATCCAGGTGGGCACCTAATTACCAAAACCTGAATTGTATTCCCTCGTTATCCAGGTGGGCGCCTGATATTTCAACAAAACAGACAAAACAAAAGAAATTTTTCTGCCCCAGTTTGGGATCTGGGCATATTTGTGAGTGTTAATCGAATCATGTTACCTACAGAGCTCTAAGAATTTAAAAGTTAAATCCCATTATCCAGGAGGGCCCTGAAAACTTCAAATTAAATCTCATCTTAAGAGTGATAACTTTAAAGCTAAATTATATTTTTTAAAGGGAGAACTTACGTTAAAACTTAAAACTAAATCCCATTATCCAGGACGGTTCTGAAAATTTTAAATTAAATCCCATTATCCAGGAGGGTCCTGAAAACTTTTAAAATTAAATCTCATTATCCAGGAAGGTCCTGAAAATTTTAAATTAAATTCTATTATCCAGGAGGGTCCTGAGAACTTTTAAAATTAAATCCCATTATCCAGGAGGGTCCTGAAAAGTCGAGAATGAACTTACCTGAACCATGCTCTCTTCTTGGAGGATTTTGAACAAAATTTCTTGCCCCTAAACCATGCCTTCTTCGTGGGAGGGTCCCTGTGGATTAACAAATTTTCTTGCCCCTGTTTTAGATAAATAAAATTTGTTAGTTTGAAAATGTGGTGGTTAGCTTGTGGTATCATTGCTGAGTGTCTGCTTCCGCCACTGCCATGCTTCATTCTGATTAGCTGCTTCGGGCTAGCAAGGAGTTGTTTGACCTTTTGATTGGAACTGGACCACAAAACCTATGAATGACCTGAATCTCTCACACTCACTTGTTGTATTATGTTTTCATTTTGAAAGTTGTTTCATCCTTGTATTTTCTCAAAATTCAAGATTCAAATGATTGCCTGAACCTTAGTTATCACCATACTTCTCATTCTAAATCATGTCAATTGCGATGTGCCTAGCCGAACTCCTCTTTGTGCAATTTAGAAGCTGGTAGTAAGCTTTGGAATCCTTTGCAGCTTGTTCAACAAGGGCTAACTCGAAAAAGACTCATAAAGATAGACTCAAAGAGCATGGTGAAATGACTTTTGGCAGAAGGAATCAAAGGAAAATTTTGAACACAGATGACTACGTGAAGACGAATGGGAAAAGAAGACTTATCTGAGTGAAGCGGCTAGCTCCAATGATCATGACATGCATTTCGGATTGATCAGTCTAATCCGTCCAACCAATCATATTTCAGTTCAAGTCGTGTCTTTATACTTCACAAACCGGGCTTTCACTGATCCAATTTCTCTGTAGAGTCATGAGCCTCATTTGATTTGTAGTGCCCCGAAGGGTTTTCCCCAACAATATTCTCTCCTTTGTTCATCTCTCAACTCACCATCGCCCTACGGTGCCCGCGAGGGTTTTCACCAATAAGACTCTCTCATTTTAAAAATTTTCTCAGCTCACCATCGCCTTACGGTGCCTGTGAGGGTTTTCACCAATAAGACTGTCTCATTTTAACTTTTCTCTATTGTGCCCATGAACAAAGCGTTACCCATGATGTAAATCATACCTCTATCTCGCTTAACCTGACATCCTCAAAGATTGATCGGAAGGTCTTTCTTTGGACCGTAATGTAAGCTTTTGGCCAGGGTTAGAAAGAGAGGATGACATGAAGGCTCAAAATAATTTAAGATGAAAAAGGGTCAAAATTACAACTTTTAGAATCGGATCTTTTCAAAACCAAAATTTCTGCCCCAGTTTCTTTGGGTCTGGGGAATTTTAATTTTTATTTTGATGTGATCGAACCGTAAGGCTGCCTACGTATCCTTAAAAGGAATTAGGTCGAACGTAGTTCAAAAGAAAGTTGTTTGTTTTTGTTTCCCTTTTTCTTTTCTTTTCTTTTTTTTCTTTCTTTCTTTCTTTTCTCTTTTTTTCCTTTTCTTTTTATTTCTTTCTTTCTTTCTTTTCTTTTTTTTTTATTTTCCTTCTCTTTTTTTTCATTTTTCTTATTTTTCATTTATTTTTTATCATTTCATTTTTTTTCTAATTCTGCTACTGATTCCAAAAGAAGGATATGAAAGAAAATAAATAAGGCTCAAAAGGGGTAGCAAAGGATGAAAGAATTTGGGTAGCGGAATAAAATGCCTTCGTCATTTCAACCTTGAACATGCCAAGTATAAAAATGCGATTGAAAATAAGCAAATGACTCATGCATAGTACCTCTTGACCGTATCAGAATTGATAGCCATATCTACACATTTGCCTTCTATGTGTGTTAAATACAAAGCAACATTGGGCAACATTCTTGTTACAATGAATGGCCCCTGCCAGTTTGGGGCAAACTTACCTTTAGCTTCCACCTGATGAGGGAGGATGCGTTTCAATACCATCTGGCCCACTTCGAATTTACGAGGATGCACCTTCTTGTTGTATACTCTTGCCATTCTCTTCTGATACAATTGACCATGACATATTGCAGCCAATCTTTTCTCATCAATCAAACTCAACTGCTCTAGCCGGGTTTTGACCCACTCATCATCATCAATTTCAGCTTCTACAACGATCCGAAGGGATGGAATTTCAACTTCTGCAGGTATAACTGCCTCAGTTCCATATACTAGCAAATAAGGAGTTGCACCTACTGAAGTGCAAACAGTAGTGCGATAACCCAGTAAGGCGAAAGGCAACTTTTCATGCCACTGCCTAGAACCTTGAACCATCTTACGAAGTATCTTCTTTATATTCTTGTTAGTAGCCTCAACAGCTCCATTTGCCTTGGGGCAATACGGAATGGAGTTCCGATGCATGATCTTGAACTGTTGGCACACCTCTTTCATCAAATGACTATTGAGATTAACATCATTGTCTGTGATGATCACCTTGGGAATTCCGAACCGACAAATGATATTTGAATGAACAAAATCCACCACTGCCTTCTTGGTCACGGACTTGAAAGTTACAGCTTCGATCCACTTGGTAAAGTAATCAATGGCCACCAGAATAAACCTATGCCCGTTTTACGCTGCCGGCTCAATTACTCCAATGACATCCATGCCCCAAGCAACAAAAGGCCAAGGTGAAGACATTGTATGTAACTCAGATGGGGGAGAATGAATCAAATCACTGTGTACTTGGCATTGATGACACTTGCGAACAAAACTGATAGAATCTCGTTCCATGGTGAGCCAATAATAACCTGCTCGAAGTATCTTCTTTGCCAAGACATACCCATTCATATGTGGCCCCCAAACTCCAGAATGTACTTCGGTCATGATAGTGGAAGCTTCTTTAGCATTTATACACCTCAGCAGTCCCAAATCTGGAGTCCTCTTGTACAAGATTCCCCCACTTAAGAAAAATCCACTAGCCAGTCGTCGAATGGTTCTCTTTTGATCACCTGTGGCATGTACTGGATATACCCCCGACTTGATATATTCCTTGATATCATGGAACCAAGGTTCGCCATTAATTTCCTCTTTTACCACATTACAATAAGCATGTTGATCACGAACTTGGATATGCACAGGGTCGACATAAGCCTTGTCTGGTTGATGTAACATTGACGACAGAGTAGCCAAAGTATCGGCAATCTCATTGTGAATCCTAGGAATATGTCTAAATTCTACCGACCTGAATAGTTGACAATGTTCATGCAGACATTGTTGGTACGATATAAGCTTCAAGTCCCAAGTCTACCATTCTCCTTGAATCTGATGAACCAACAAATCTAAATCTCCCAGAACCAATATTTCATGGACTCCCATGTCTACAACTAACCTCAAACCCAGAATGCATGCTTCGTACTCGGCCATGTTGTTGGTGCAATAAAATCGAAGCTGGGCTGTTACAGGGTAGTGTTGCCCTATTTCAGAGATAAGTACAGCCCATATTCTGACACCTTTTATGTTAGCATCTCCATCAAAGAAGAGTTTCCAACCTGGATTTTCATTATGGTCAACCTCGTCAACACACATGACCTCTTCATCAGGAAAATAAGTCTTCAGTGGCTCATATTCATCATCCACCGGATTCTCGGCCAAGTGGTCGGCCAAGGCTTGGGCTTTCATTACGGTTCGAGTCACATAGATGATATCAAA